TCTGGTTGAATACATTTTTGTGTTAAACACTCCCAATAAGATGGCGGATTGCTGTACCTTCCTTAAGAAGAAAGAGAAAGATGACATCGCTAAAGCAAGGGTAAGCAACATACTATCAATAATGAAATTTCTAAATTTTAAGATTCATGCAAATGAGTGAAATCTGTTCAACTTAATCTTTAAATTCAGGGGATATGACGCAATGTTTTTTAAATGATAATACCACATACAGTAGGTGATGCCAGTTCAAAGTCGATGTAGAGGCGCTGGCATCGGCTGTGTCTTATCCTGGAACTTTCTACAGATATATATATTTGCAAAACTGATCTACTTACCTTTCTTGAGTAAAATATACGAAGAAGACACGAGGCCAACTTTCTTGAACACACCGCATTAAATACTTATATCAGTTACTCAGTTGGTGGGTTGCAGCCAAGATAACTCCGCGTCGTATTTAGAAAGTTTGAACATTTTTTTTTTCTACAGGGATCGTCAGATGAAATCATTTTGAAGATCAGTGCGTCACCTAAGAAAGTAGACTTGAATAAAAGTCCCAGTAAGAAACCACCGCAGAAGGCAAGCGAGGCCCAGGACCACTGGGTGGACAAATGTTCTCGCCTAATGTTCCCTGCAATGTATTCTATCTTTCTGATTGCTTACGTCATTCATTACAAGAACAAGATAGAGGATTAAGCCTTAAGATCTCGGAGAGCCGTGGGTTCTTTGTTGCTGTCAAAAGAAATGACTTGCAATGTCTGACAAAAATCCTTAAACTCTTTGATAAACCATACCCATTCCCATTGCCCTACTAATTACAATGTTGTTTTAGCCATGCATCGTAAATCAAGTTTGATGTAGTGATCAGTGACGTGTTTCAAGGAGTTAATTTGTGACGAGGGTTAATATTAATGCAAACGGAATCGCGTTTTAGACCCTGTTTACATGGAGAGGGGGACCCCGGTCTAGTTGGGTAGGTTTCTTTTGTTTTGTGTCCCCTAGATCGAGCTTGAAAACAAAAGAAGCCAACCCCACTAGACCGGGGTCCCCCACTCCATGTAAACAGGCCCTTAATGCTTGCACATGGATAATATAAGTAAGCCAACCACAACCTGATTACAAATAAAGAACCAATGCAAATGAAAAAAATCATCAAACAAACCGAGCCTGTGTAAGATGCATATTAGGTTCTGATAGCATGGTTTATAATGATTCTTAGCACTGCCAGGAAAGAGAAAATTGGTTGGTATTAAATCTTAATATAATTTTAGGTTCGAACCATCACCCTTTTTAAACCATTTAAGTAAACATTAGCTCGGGGGGAGGGGTCTCAAATTCTATTAGTTTGTTTCTGTGTACGTGGGCTTCTATAAGCGGCAGAGTATATCTTCTTGATGAAATGGAATCATTCCATCGTAAAAAGGGTTAATACAATGACAAAAAATAAAAGTAATATTCAACAATTTAAGTTAAGCGAGTTTAAAAGGGAGATGCAGGTGTAAATAGATGATTCTGTTTGATAAACAAAGACACTATTACCGTTGTGACGTCAAACGCAAATTGCGCCCCAAATATCATATTAAAAAATGACAACAAGTTTGCAATATTAGCGCTGCTAATTCAGACTCAAATAGACATATCACGTGCGGCATATAATGTACATGTATTTTTGCTGATAACAGTTTATTTCAGTAATCCAACTAAATATATGTGTTTGCAACTCTTATATCTGTAACTTGTCTCATCATTCATGCAAATCCTCTGTCTGGGTTTTGATACGTCTGGACCCTTGCCTTTACCACTGAAAGTTTGGAATTTGAAACTTTAGGAGTTTAGTTCACTTATCGTCATGATGCCATTTCACGCCATATTTTTAAATGTCATGATCAGTCATCTTTTTTCATCACAAATAAAAAAGTGGTAAAAGTGGAGGGGAAAAGCAAAAACAGCAAAAAGAGTAACTAAAGGTAAAAATGTTTTAATAAAGCATTAATTGCAAAACATTTTTTTTAATTGCAAAACATTTTTGACAAATGGTTGTTATGGAAACACCTAAAATGAAAGCAAATGTCTCACATAATATTTCGTTCAAATTTCCTTCAAAGTTGGGAGTGATACTTTCCTCTTTACAGTGAACTTAAAGCCATATCCATCAGCAACAGCAGATTTATTCTACATAAGGGCGCTTAGGGTTCCACGAACAAAAAATAATAGCGGAGATATCTGTTAGTGCAACAAAAATTTAAATAAAAGAATAATTACAATTACTAACACAAATCTGCAATGAATCACTGAAATAACAGTAATAGTCATCTTATGATGAAATAAACTAGAGGTTAAGTGTTAGAATAAATTAAAGCATTCTAAAAAATCATTCGTCCGTTGTCTTAGCTTTTTACTTTCATTTTTCTTCTTTTTTTTTTTTTTGCAAATTGCCAAAAAGTAATTAGCAATATGCACATGCCTCAAGCCAGTTAGCGTCACTTGAAAACCATCAAGTTATGTTTCAGTGATATCCTTTTAAATTTATGACTCATTGTTATCTTGGTAATTTAAACAACTTTATCTTCCTTTCCTTCTTACATTTTTTTGTTTCTTCTGACTTTACATGGAAAAGTTTGATTCTGATAAACGTTACCATGTCGCGGCAATAGTATTAATCGATATTAAAAAGCAAACAGAACTTTTTTTGATAACGATGTCATATCTGAACATCTCTTGCTGTATTGAAAATTGTCCTGCTGTATTGAAAATTCCTTGAAAATCTTTTTTATTTTGTTAATTATATTTTGCAAACAAAATGGTTTATTCTTCAGGCACGTTTTCTTTACTAGCGTCCCTCAGCAGCCCATAATATAAGGTGTAAGAGACAAGGAAAAGTACGTACAAAATAGGAAACGCAAATCTTGATATGCGGTCAATCCAATGAACCTTCGGTATGGTTTTAGGTTTTTCTTGATCTTTTGATGCAGATTCCTTCTTAATTTCTGGTTTCAGCTTGAAGTTCCCCTTGTTGCTACGGATCCTACATGAGCCTTCATCCATTACCTGGACAACAAGATCAACGCTGTCTTCGCCTTGGACCTACGATAGCAATAAGATTGATATCAAGCTCAAGATATTCATTCACCCAAGTCAAATCCAAGTAAAGTCTGGTTTTCTCGACTACACCCAGTGAGAAACCACATTGCCATTTTTTGCGACCTATTTCTTAGTGAGTTTGACAAGAGTGAGGTTAAAAAACCTCTGTCGGACTCGGGTTAGGATTCGGAAACAACTAACGAGCCGAGGAAACTCCGAGAACGGAGCAATTTTCGGATGGCGCAGTGGTAAGAAACACTCGCCTCCCGTCAATGATCGATGAATTTGAGTCTTGCCATCGAGGCCAGTTGTGGCTTGAGATTGAAATTGTTGTTCTTGGTTTTCCTCCTTCGTTTTTCCCTTTCGTCAAAAATTAACATTTCCAAATTTCAATTCGATCTGAAAATTAAATTGTCTACTCAAGAGTATCTTAATGGAGAGTGATTGAAGTGGGAAAGATAAATTTGGAAAGAGCCCAAGATCCAACCCAGCATATTACAGTTTTTTCTCTCCAAAATTAATTGCATAAGAATTTTTTTCGATTGAGGAGAAATTGGAAACAATAGGTTTGCAAAATTTTGTGGAGGAAACAATGCCTGAAAGATAAATTTCCTGCCCCGGAAACATAAACAGGAATGATGGAAACATACCGATTCAAAGTTCATAACCTCTTTCTCGGTCGTGTGATCTTATCAGAAACGTGGTCGAACATTGAACAAGGATTTAAGGGGCCTGAAGCAATACAGCCATTAAGACAGTCACGTGAGGGGACGTCATGTGCCAAATAAGATTATAAGACTGGTGAAAACTTTCAGAAAACAAAGAAATTTTCCGTTCCGAAAATATCGTTGCTTCGAATTTGCCTGTATGTTCCATTCTCTAAATATCTTCTCGTGAAAAGAAATATTCTCTGGGAGCTATGTTTCGTCTATTTTTAAGAAAAGGGTGAAAAGGTTTGTGTTTGTTTTTGTTTTTTTTTTTTTAATTAAGCCACTTTTTTCTTTACTTACCTCACTTACCACAGTAAATTTTTGTTTCTCGTCCATTTTCTGTCTCCTTTTGCACCATGAAGGCAATACTGGGTCACTGTTTAGCACTATGATATATTCAATCAAAGCAGCGAAAATGAAACCAAAGGAGGTAAGCATGAAATAGTCCACTGCCTTCATGTAGCTGACTTTTGGCATATCCCTATTAACATTACCCTTGAGCAGAATTGAGGTTAATATAGTGGTAATGCTAAGAGCAACTCTTGCCGGAACTGCAGCAGGAGAGATGTAAAAACAGCACCACGAGAGGACGACAAGGACTATAGAAGGGACGAAGATGGACGAGATGAAACTTTCCGTGCGTCGGCGGAATGAAAATACTGCCGTCAAACTTGCAAATGAGCCTTTAAAAAAATCAAACCAAAAAGACACTTATGAAAAATAATTTTTGGACCTTCCTCAGTATTGAAATGTTGTGCTGAAGAGCCCCCCCAACGGCGTTTGAAATTCACCGAGAACTGCATGACTTGATCAAATTAAAAATACGAAAAAATGTAATGTTCGTGAAGAAGTAATTGCAGTGTTCGTCATGGATCATCGACCTTAAAATTGCTATCTAAACTTTCTCATGTGTATAGAAGAAGGATCAATATTTAAAAAGTGCCAGTAGAGGGCTAGAAATGAAACTTTCCGAGACATGGTAATTCCACTTGAACACGAAACCAAAAGAGTCTGTCCGCTTTCCCATCAGCATTTACTAAAAGGTCAGTACAGTGCAACCTTGATATAAATACAGAATAATATTTTTCTGGTTCATACCTTTACTGTTCGTCTGAGCTTTAGTACGAGTGCTTACGCCTACGAGATCAAATTGCGCCATTTCAGCGGATACGATCTCTATCCCTTGGTCGTCTCCTCCTTTCCAGCGGTAATCCACGTCAGCTGTCGTGTAGGCATCTGTCATAACGAGAAAGGTTCAATAAATAAACTGAAAGAAGGTTAAAATCAAATTGCCCGGATACAAAGTCTCCTTGCGATATAAGAAAGAAAAATAGTATTTATTTTATTTATTTCTACTATCATTCACATGTATTAATACTGGTATAGGATTCACAATATTTCAATTGTCGAGAAAGTTAGTAAGTAACATGCATTTATACTTACAACTTTCTATGATAAGCGGACAATACTGTGTGTCCATTGGGTAAAGCCGCAAGTTCATGTCACATTGAGCAGTTAGAGTTATTCTGAAAAATAAAACAGCTGAATCTTTACAAACTTTTTTTTAGTCTTTTTTACATTAATTTGCTTTTGAGTGTTTTTTTATCGCGAAGCACAAGACAGCGTTGCCGAGCGGTTAGAGCACTGGACTTTCAATTCGGAGGCCCCGAGTTCAAGTCCCGCCCTTACCGCTAGCTGAATTTGTTCTCGGGTAGTTCTGGTTTCGCTAGGCCTGACGCTTGTAAAATAGACAAATGGTTCACCTCCTACTAGTTGGGATTTTTAACCATTTAATGTTCTATTTGAATTATTTGTTTCATTATCCCTGAAAAGGCCCATAATGAGAGAAGATAAATAAAGTATTATTATTACTGTTATTATAATTATTATTTTGGACCGAGCTCTGACCCAGCTTCTGTTCAGTTCTTTCATTTACCTCGTGCTGTAATAAATCTCTCCGTCAGGAGATATTTTCACTCTCATGTTTTCTCTGGTTACAAAATGGTATTTAGCATCCTTAACGTTCCAGAAGTACGTATCTGGAGTCCAAAAAAGTTTGGTAGGATCAGCTGCCATGTTGAAGGGTTGGCTGTAGTTGTTTTTAAATCTCGGATCATTCCACCACTGACGCATAAAAATATCCATTGAGTACTCCTTTGAAAAAAAAGGTAAGATGTTAAGATGCTGTAGGATTAAAAACGTTCAGACAATAACTGAAAACTTTATGCTGTCCCTCGGTTAATATTTAATTGGGAGTGCGACGTATTGAACCCTCTAGGCAATGACTGTCAAACGCCATTTCCAGAAAACAAAGCAAGCCCCAAACAATAGTCACCAGGATTGAGTGATAACTGACTCAAACCTAGCAGAGTACTTGCCGTCAACCCAAACTTCAATACATGTAGATAATTGTTGTCACTAAATATTCTAAGGGAGAAAAAGAAACGTTGGCTCGTGCTACAAAACGCTAGCTAAAACCTAGACTTATTTTCTTGAATCATCGACCAAATCAGCCATGTTATGCTTTAAGCAATTCCATTTAAGTAATTTCCACAGGTTTTAAACTAGGTAGACTGCCATACCATATTAGCCTCCTTGATCTCTCCAAAAGAAATAACTTTGAATTCAATCTTCACAATAACCGGCGGACCTCCTGCGTTTGGCCTAACTTTCCTGTCATAACCTTGAAGACTCCTGTTGATGGTGCGTGACAAGTTGTAGGCCGCGATCATACTATCTCGCATCTCATCTGCAGATTCCCTACATTTTTTTTTTAAGAAATAGAGAATCAAGAAAAGCCTTTTTTTTTTTTTTAACTAAAGCTGACTAAACATTCTCATTTCATTTCTGAAAAATCAGTTTACAGTTAAGGAAAAATAATGTATTACTAACTGTTACAGTTTTTAAAAAATAGTAATGTACTCGAAATTTTCTGTCTCGAGGAGAAAGAAACTGGGTAAATTTTAAATAATGTCTTAAGTTACTTTTCCCAGGATATGTCTCAAGGATTCAGCACTGTTGAATGTTAAACCTGAAAAGAATAGTCACATGACATCATCACGTGATCGGTCACTCTTTTCTTAGGTGAAGCCTTTTTTTGTTTCTAATATAACCCCTGACTCGTCCCCAGTCGTCTCTCATTATTAGTATTCGGCGTGGAAGACTAGAACGGGCTCTTTAACAAAGGGGATGACGGGAAGGCATAACCCAAGCGCTTCCCTAGTATTAATGAGACAACTTAGAGACGACTGGGGACGAGTCAGATATAACCCTTAGATAAATAGCCCCTTTATTGAAAATCAGCAGACTATTTTTTGTAAAAATTCTCTTTAGCAACAAAGTCAATTCAATAGACCCTTCAACGTGTTTTTTCTTTTCTTTTCTTTTTTTTTTTTTTTTTTTTTTTTAACTTTTTATATGGACCAGTTAGGGAAAATCCGTCGCCACCAGTGAAAAGAGAGCTTTAAGTTAGTAAAATTGCCAGGTTTGAAAGTGATACGTCTTAAGCGAGTAATAGCTCCACAAAGTTGCGAAGTTTTACAGAGGCTTGTATGATGGGAGGGGGGGTGGGGGGGCAAGTTTATGCCCCTTCTATTTAAGCGTCTGTTTAAAGGCGCTCTCTCTAGAGGAGTTGACGAATTTTCCCTAACTTTCCCATGTTAAAAGTTGAAAAAAAAAATCCTGGAGGGATCCATTGTAGGTATAGCTTCAAAGAATGTAGATTTCGAGAAAAAAATGAATCAATAAATGTAGTATATATTTAGAGGAATGAGCTACTGTTTAAGATAAGTATAAGGAGCTTACTTATTGCAAAATCCAAATGTGCTAAAACTTAGCAAGGCCAGTAAGAAGGCTCCAGCCACTCGTATATACAACTTCATTTCGGTGGAACGTGATGTCTGAAAAAGGAAATAAGCCTTAAAAGTGAAAAAACAGTAATAAGTAATTAATGTTATAAGTAAGTAGTTTACAATTATATCAGCGATAACATATTTTTCTTGTTCTTTCTTCTTTTTTTATTTTCTCCCGAAATTAAAGATAAATTGGCTGGTTTTGTTGTGACTTATTAGTTCTTTTAGGTTCTTTCTTCTAAGTTATTATGTTGTATAAAACTCATGATGAGGTGGTGAATGGTTATTAATTAAGCTGTATAAAGGAGCCAGTTAAATTGCTCCCAAATAGTATTACTAGTGGCAAAACTGGTAAACTAAACTCTTAAACTGCATTCTATGAATTTAAAATAAAGTTCCTCAGCAGGGTTTATTTAATTGATATTAAAATATAAACCGGTGGCCGGATCGGTAGTGATTATATTATGAGTCTCGCGTTAAAATAATCCGACGATGACTATAGTATCAGTTTAAAAAGCTGTATTAAGATTTTTTCCAGTTACTTCAATAACTGTTACATCAGTACAAGACCGGAGAATAGATTTTCAAGCTGCTTTCCACCGCTTCGAAAGCTTTTACAGGTGTGTGTCAATTAAGTATCACATCTGCAGTGATGATAAATTATACTTACGCTCTCGGTCGCAAAGACGAAATCACACGAACAGACGCTGAAGTAAAAATAAGGATATCTTTTAGTTGCTTTTACTGGCCAATTAAACGTAAATCGGTGACAGCTATGACGAAAACGTGCTTTCCAAATTTGTACTACTCAGTACACACAATATTCAGTCACACACAGTGGGTCATCAGCAGATATGCAAATAAATACCTGTATTTATTTTGGCAGTCACCTGCTACTGACGTACAGTTCTTTTGGCGAAAAAACTGTTGCTTATTTTATTACAGTGCGGTACTTTTTAAAATTAGTTATGCCTGGATTGTGTCTGAATTTCTTTTTTGCGGTTAATGCCTTTCTTTCTTGCCTGCTATGTACAGAGACAATGCAAACAAAACAAAACTTGTATCGGATACAACGGTTATCACTTAGTGGTGATAAGTCTCCCAGATATGGGTTTTGTTGTTCTTCAACAAGCCACCACAAAACCTGATGAAGAAGAGGGTACAACAAAACAAAACTAACCAATGTTGCTATTACCAAAATAGCCAAATAACACTGAAATTCAAACCTATTAGAAGCATTGTTTTACTTTTATTGTACATTTTTATTTGGCGCCACCGTGCTTCGTCGTCAATACATTTAAGGTGTCAGGGTTTTAAATATACTATTGAAAAAGAATGTATCTCTCTTTTATTAAACTGACCTTAATTACTTGAAAGAAAAAACAGGAACTCCAATTCATTTTATTCAAGTTGATTTACTCTTTGATGAATAGGCTATCACAGGCTCAAACGAGGAAAAAAACATAATTGAGTAGCTTTAATTCTCGCTTATCTTTGACCAAGTATCATTTTTTTTCTAAAAATTAATAAAGCGTGAGTCTCAGAGCGCATTTTTGTGTAAAAAGTAAGCGATCATTCGTAGAAAATAAGTCCTTTGTCAATTATCAAATAAGCCCCTGCAATTCATAGACCCAACAACTGTAAAATATAAGGTACGTCAAGTAGTTCAAGAGACAGATTTCTGTCAATAAACATGCACATTTCAAATGAGTAATCAGGACTGGTTTATCAGTTAAAGATACCGCTATTATATTAACCACACCCAGGAACGTCGGTTTTTAATGGGAAGTTTTCAATAACGTTAGGCATTGAAACAGGCTTTAAAAATGATTTAGGGGAATTCAATGTGTAATTTTCGACTAAAATGGCGTTTTCTCTTCATAATGAGTCAGATTTCGTGATATCTAAGAACTTAAAATCTGAATTTGTTGAGATTTTTACTGAACACATTCTGCTTAAAGATGTTACGTTTTAAGCTTTAAAACAGGTAGCTATGAAGGAATTCATGGTAGCTATATTTTTCATTTATGCAAATCACTATAAAAGGAATCGAAATCCGAATACAAATAAGAAACTAATCCATTAAATACAAACCACAAACTGTTAAGAGCATTAATATTGCAATCTCCCTTTCGCCATTTATTTGGAACTTTGATTAAACATTCTCGCGTTTAAGTTCATACTGCAAGAGATTTGCTGAAAGTGTTTATACGGTCGCTTGTCCAAAGTGAATACGAGATTTAGCTGCAACTGATACTATCACACGAAGATATGGTTACAGATCTATTAACATTTTGCATTTTCACTTTGAGGCAGATGGAATGCTGTGTTGGTGCCTGATAATGGGTTTAACAGGAACTAAATAAAAAACCAATAATCAGTGAGTGTACTTTACCAATTCGTCGGTTTGGTTGCTGTGCTTAATCATACAGCTGTATTTCGATATTCCATTTCTATCTCCGACAATGATTAAATCCAACTTCAAAAGGATTAATTTCGTTAATAGTAATTGAAGTGTCTATCTATCTAGTTCTGAAAATGTCTGTTGTTTGTGAGGTTAAAATACGGAATTCTCTAATGCGCGATGGTTAATGATGCCTCACGACTTTCAAAGCTTTCGTGATCGTATCATAGATACTTTACGCCGGAATAAATAAGCTGAAATTTCCTATTAACGAATGTTAAAATAAAAGACGTACAAAAGCTTTTCTATTTTTAAAAAAAACAGCACAACTCTATGTAATAGCTTGAGACGATTTTTGCCTCGTTCGCGTGTATTCATGGTATTTCAAATCCCTCCACATCTCTTTAGTTAATAGTTCAGTATAACATAGATGTCCCAAAAGATGTTGCTGTATTAAACAGTAAGTAAATGGAAAATCAAATTGGAATTGCACCAAAATAGGCATCTGCTTTTCTGGAAAAAATAATATCCTTCATAGTAACTTACCTCGCTTTAAGGTTTTGTTCAATTCTGGAGACAGAAGATTATGGCCGGCTATAGTGCAGTTCTCTTAGAAACCATGTTCACCAATTCTGTATTGATGATAAGAATTCTGTTGATAATAGAAGGATAATATCGATAAAAATAGCGAATAAAATATATTTTATAATTGCGAACTCGAAACATGGATAGCAACTTTCCACAAAGTAATAAATAATTGATTGAAAAACACAGTCTAGGGGGGTACATGACAAAAACATTTATCACCTGCAGAAATCGATCAGAAAACTGCTAAAAATGAAAGACTGAGCGTATTATGTTGTCTTGTATAACGATTAGAAAATAGAGCAAAACAGACCGGCTTATTTGCCAACTTTTAAATGACGTTCACCAGTTATGTTATTATAGAAAGGGGTTAAACTTAGTAATCGCTTAAATATGCCTTAGTATTTTCCTTTATTCATTTAACTTCAAACCAGCTTAACAACCCCGAGGCATAAGACAAAGGGATGAAATTATGCAGTGTGCTATCTTGTCCACTAAATAACGAAGTTACTCATGTTTTCTGAGATGTGAAACCCTCTTGAAACTAGCCTGACTTGGTATGGGGCTGGCCAGATCAAGGTCGATCAATTTTCTACACGTTATTTTTTTATTCTCTTCTGTTATTTTTTTTTTCTTTAATTCTTATCAAAATATCAGGTATTGCTATGTATTCTTCTTTCATCAACAACTGCACTTCGTGATTAATGATATCGATGTTTGTCTGACCATGTATTTTAGTATGTTATTAAACCAGCTACCATGCTCTTCAATGTTGCCTAGAAAAATTAAGGAACCAATTCTTGCGACTTAAAATTCTCTGAAAGAAAAGTTTTATCTCGAAACTATACCCAAATAGCGAATGGTCCCCTAGCAGAGCAATAGATTTTTCTGTTAAAACAATAATATCAACCGCATTTTCACCACATTCGTGTACCTTGCTCATGATTTGTTTTGTTCA